TGGTTTTACATATAAATTTTATTTAAGATGTATTTTCTTTCTGCAAAGTTACATTTCAATACTAATGTAAATCTTGAGAAAAATATATATTAGAGGAACAAAATTGTATTTAATAATGGTGCTACCTCCCAGTTATTAATAATACAGCACATTTCAAGATCAGAATTATAAAAAAAAAACTCCAATAAATTGCTAGAATTTAATAAGGCATAAAACCAGCCCTATAAACAAACTTTATTATCTTCACTACTAAATTATATAGTACCTGTATCAATCTAAACCACTCCATCTATGTTTGAAAGAAATAACTACTGTTTTCTGTACAAATTCCTGATGTAACTATAGCACCTTTGTTTGGAAAACATAAACATGTTTTCATTACTTGTACTAACCATAAGAATATAATTCTTAACCTATTTGCATTGCATTGAAGTGTCTGGGATGTTTTTTTCTCAGGTAATCAACTGTATGAATTTGTATTTTCCATATACTTTCAAAGGACTCTTGACTTTTTTTCCCACAGATTTTTCCTTTGTATTTTTTTTTACCCAAAGACTGAATGTAAGATAACTATTTTATATAGAAAACAATTTATATACTTAAAATGTACTATACCAATAGAATTCTAACCATACAAATGCTATAAAAGAAAATAATCAAAACTTACTCAATTTACTGGGCCTGCCACCCCTCTAACCTAGACACTGGACCAGAAAACTTTCACCTTTGAATGTTCTGGTAAGATAGAGCCTTGGCAAGTACCCAAAATATAAAGGAACAAAGCATATAACTCTTTTGTAGACATCCCCTAAAGGTGATGCATTTGGGTCTGTTTTTCTATGAAATTGGCGTAGTTTAGAATTTTCATTAGAAGACTCCTGTTATAACTTGTGGTTTTCCTCTATCATGGGGGCCAATATCATCCCTAAAACTGTTGAGCCCAAACTAAAAGTACAAGTGGACGGTACATACCTAAGAATTCCATCATTAATGACAATGTTAGTAACATCTAATAACAGTTATTTTACTTTCTTTCTTTTTTTTTTTTTACAAATTACAGTATAAGAAAAAGTTTTAAAAGATTTTAAAATGTCCATCCCAGTAAACTAAAATTTAACACATATCTTTCAGTCTGTCTACTTTTTCTTTTTTGGTGCTTGTGGCAAGATGCCCATGTACTTGCAGATAATACTCAGCATCACCTCATCTGCTCCTCCTCCAATGGACACAAGCCTAAGGTCCCGGTAGAAACGACTCACTAGAACCTGCAAATGAAGGAGTGATTAGTATCATGAATTTCTTCTGGTTCTTGTAAAATCCACCAGGATTTTGTGAGTAAGAATTCCTCTGTGTAAGGAAAAGGAAGGTGCTATTGGAAATCCCATTATATATGTCAGTCCCATTATACATTCCACAAAGAACAGCAATGACCAGAATCTTCAGTATATTATGTCATACACATACTTTGTTTATAAGATTATAAAACAAATGCTAAAAAAATACATAATGGCTATTATGTAAAAACACTAGAATTTCAAAAACTTACATAATAGAAATTCCACTGTTTGTATATTCAACAATTAATAAAGGGCTTACAATAAACCAACAGCTATCCTGAATACTGCCTCTTTTTAACCCAGTGGATACGGGTGACATTACATCATGAGAAAAATTGGTGTAGTGCTGGGTGACAGGAAATATGCCATCATGGAAACATCTGGCTGAAGGCAGGGGTAAAGCAAATGTACTGTCATGAAAAATTAAATTAGTGGCTAGGGTGAGAGGAACCACATTATGAGTGCTTAAAGCTCTTGGAGGAAGTGTAAACTCAGTGAGCATGTAGGAAGGGGCTCTAGCATTGTTTCCGAATGTAAATGAGGGTCGAATGAACCATCCATAAGCCCCAGGATCCTATTCCTGCCTGCCATGACCAGTTGTACAAGGTTTGTTACAAGAAATTAAAAATAGTTCTAGATTACCCTGAGAGACGATGTGAAGTCTATGCAAGGGAAACTCTTGATACAGCATACCAAACATAGGCCTTGAACATTGGCAAAAACGTAAAAAATACTTGTAAAGAGTCTTGACATCGCACTCAGTTAGGCCTACAAGCAACACACATGGGAGTCACCACTGAAGTAAGCCTAATGCCTGGATTTTGGGTCACATTAGGGGAGTGAGGCACCGACGTCCAATAGTTAATAAATAGTTAATAAATAGCAGTTGCCAGGATCCCTACATCTTCAATCAACATTTCTAAAATATGAAAACATTTACTTTAATAAGACTACGGTCTACAAATTTCACCTCCATATATCTAATTTTCTTTTGCAATGAAAAAGAAAAAAAAAAAAAAAAAAAAGAAGAAACTCATACATCTCCATTATAGTTATTTACATTTCTAAAAGTTGGTCATTCCGATTCATGGATGTCAACAAGCATCACAATGTGCAATCAGGACTTAGTGAGGTAATGGGTCATAAATTTCATCATTCAAATGCAGAGAAGAGATTCTGGGGGATAATCTCCAGGATATTTTTGATGAATCTTTCTTTGAAACATGCACAGTCACAGATTTGCCTGATGCTAGAGTCAATTTTATTGCTCAAATACATTTTTTTCTTATTGCTTGAAATTACATGACAGGGGAGCTTTGCCATTCCCTACTATTATTAGTTTTCTTGGCTGATACCATGTGAAACACTGCAGACATAAAGGGTACCGCTATTTTTTAAAATCTCTGTCAGATCCCCATCAGGAGAAAGTAGCAGAATCAAATTGGACCTCCAAATTTTCAGCTTACCACAACTAATGTAACACTCATTCTTTCATATGGCTCACTGGCACCACCACAAAAAAGACTCATTCTAATAAAATTCATATACATTAACTGCAACCTCGTGTATCAACAAAAGATATGATACAAGAAAGAGACATTATCCTAATCCTTCATAACATGAACAGATTGTGAGAAAAGAATAAGTAATATCTCCTTCTGAAATAAACCCAACTCCAGAGCACACTTCCTATGCATGAGCACCAACCTCATTTGTGAATCCCATGCCTCCCCAGAACTGCAGGCACGAGTCAGAAATTTCCCTCACTAGGCGACCACTTTTCAGTTTGCACATGGATGCCAACTTGGTAACATCTTCACCACCAACATAGAGTTCTGAAAATGTGAAATGTATGTGAAGATACATTGAAATCTCTCATTCATTCCAGCCCTTAAAAATTTTTGCAGTGCATGTGAAGTTACCCAGAAATTCACTCTTTAAAATCCTTTTTACAATATTTTCTAGTAATGCTTAAGGCTTATGAAGTAAAACTTAAAGTTTTGTTGTTGTTAAAAAAATGTACTAACGCTGTAAATTCACAGTGAAAATTTGCATAAATTCCAGGGACTTGAAATTGTGGTGTATAAGAAGTTCTATTGAAAGCCATTATTCTTGTTATTCAGAAGTTAACAGGAAATGGAAAACCACTCTAAAAGACTTAACGTATCACAAAACTGACAACAACACAAAAGCAAACCCACCTGTTGCCCTGTACAGCAAGGATCTCAGACACTCGACTTCTGTCTCCAGTTCAGCCAAGCGGAAGTGGATGTACTGATTGTTGAGGAGAGGCTGACCAAAGGCCATCCTGTCCCTTGTGTACTTGATGGTTTCCCGGATACAGATCTCCAAGGGGGCCAGAGTCAAAGCAGCTGCAGCCAGACGTTCCTCTTGAAACTGGGGAAAACAAAAAGGTATAAATATCTCTTCCTTAACCTCTCCCTGCTGTTTGGCATGTACATACATGCCATGGCTGTTGTGGACAAAGCAGCGGGTGCCATTATCAGGTGAAGCTTATTTTTCTCCAATAGTAGCAGCATCATTTCTATTTCAAGGTGAATGTAAACCTTTAAAAATGTTATATTTTTACAGATTGTATCAAGATACACGCTTTTAGGTGCCTAACGTTGCCTGCAAACTACCAACAATCCAGGCACAAACAAGGGAAACTGCCAATATGTGCCAATAAATCTGCAATCATGTCCACTTGCCAAATTTTTGACCAGGCATTATTGGGTTAAAAAAAGCATCTGCTGCTAAAAGACAAGAATGAATAGTATTTTAACTATCACTCCCTGGATTTGCTGTTGGATTAGGAACCTCATAAATGATGTGTAACAAAGAAAGTAATTCCAGTAAAATAGAAAAAGCTAGTTTTATTACTGTAGAAAAAATCCCCTTTTTTTATTATTGTTTTTTTTTTTACATCATTTCAAATATCTGCTTTTCTATCCTTAATCTCAATTTCTATTATGATCTTTTCCAAATGTGTTTTGGTTACAACACTGCACTGTATACATTATTTCTGTAAAAAAAAAAAAAAAAAAAAAAAAACAATCTATTTAAATCTAACCAAATCAACAATGTCAAGAAAATATTTATTTATTTAAAAGACAAAAAATAACATACTGCTAATATGAGGTTATTCAGCAGATAATCTATTTGTTCAATAGACTAACTAAATAAAATATTTAATCTGAATAATCATAAACATATCTCAACCTCCTAAAAAATACTTAAAAATAAAGCAATAGCGGGACCCCCATCTGACCTGCAACATCTGATAAGTGAAACCCATTCCTTCTTGGCCGATGATGTTTTTTGCTGGAACCCTCACGTCCTCAAAGAAAATCTGTGCTGTGTCTGAAGAGCGCATTCCCATTTTGTCAATCCTCTTGTTCAGATGTATTCCTGTAAGAATTATTTCATTAATTTTCTTAATCAACAACTCATTTTCAAGGTCTGGCTTGCTTAAGACTGTTAAGTATTATAGTTTGAAAAAATATAGAAAAGAGTCCTACATAGGTATCACAACCTGAGACTGTCCCATATATTCTAAAACTAATATAGAAAATTTCATTGAATAATAACCATTTTTGTCCTGGATTTTTCTTTTATTTCTAAAAAAGGATGGCTACCATCTCTTTATCATAGAAACTGAACATTTAGAGACAATGTATTGGCAATACAAATCCATAAATACAGTGACTAGTATCCCGGCACCGGGTATCATAAAAACCCCTTTCCTCACACGTTCACTTTCTCTCTTGCCCTAACTTTCCCATTTCACTCACATACCTCGAATATCAATAAGCCCACAGAATCGCACTGTCCTATAGACCCATCCATCTATCTACCTGGAGTATCCATGGGCACACAGATAAGAGACTTGTTCTTGTGTGGTGCTCCCTGCGAGGTGTTGGCCAAGAGGCACATCCAGTCGGCCTGGAATGCATTTGTTATCCACATCTTCTGGCCATTGATGATGAAGTCATCCCCCTCTCGCCTGGCTGTTGTCTTCAAGCTGGCCACATCCGATCCACCAGAGGGCTCACTTACCCCAAGACATGAGACCAAGTCTCCTGATATGCTCGGAGCTAGGAACTGCTCTTTGACATAGTCACTTCCAAACCTGTGGGTCAAGGATGCCTCCCAGTCTTTTGCATTTGTAAACAGTACTGTATCAATTAAAAATGCATTTTTCCCCCCTCTATAAATCTGGTAATCTTTTGTCCCTCCCTTTCTAATGCTGATTCCCTCTTCTTTACATTAAATCATACCTATCACATTTTTTTCAAATTTCCCAAATGACATGACTCTCCTTTCATCTCAACTGATTAATCTAAAAGTTTAAATCTTAACATAGAACTGTATCTTTGTTTTATATCGTTATTGTGGCAACTTCAAACACCAGCATATCATATTCTTCTCAAAAGCCATTTTTTCTTTTCATCAGTAAAAAAACAATTTTCATAATAAATAATAAATACAAAATGACAAACAAACAATATGTGTAACTTCATTTGTGCCTGTGATTTATCAACAAAACTTTATATATAAAACTGATATTCAATAGATTATCCATAATTTCATTTTATTTTTATTTCAAAGGACACATAACCTGTCAAATGTAAAGGCAAACCAATTCACAGTGAAAATGTAAAAAAAAGAAAAAAAAATCAAAATACATAATATTTATTATATCATCCAATATCAAATTTGCATAAAATAATAATTTTATCATTAAAGCAATGAAAGAAATTTTCATATTAGCAAATTACTAATCAACCCTTCTATAACTAATACTTTTTACAGGAACATCTAAACTTTTACAAAAATACAAAAACAAACCAGATAATAACTTGACATACTTTAAAGTGACACAACCAAAATAACACAAAATCAATACTAAGCACCAATACGGATACTACTTATGAAATACCTGGCAAGCGCAGGTGTTGCCATGTCAGTCTGCACAGCAATAGCCATTGGGATTGCACCACAATTGACATTGCCAAGAGCCTCCCCCATGGCAACACTGTATGTGTAGTCCAAGCCAAGTCCTCCATATTCTGTAATTCATCAGTGGATTAGATACTTAAAAACTTAATACTGAATTTCATGTCATAGTTTTATGTTTTGTACATAAATGGAAGAATGAGACATCTTCAATTCTTTTTAACAACAACGATTTTAACTACAGTATATCTTAAAATATTTACTCAAATAAGATTATTCCATTTTCCAAGTTCACCTTAAAGCTGTACATACATGTAGATGTAAACTAATGAATTACAGCAGAGACTATGTAACTGAGAATAAGGAAGAATCAAATGCAGAAACTAACCTTCAGGCTTTGTGACACCAAGAAAACCCGCCTGTCCGAGCTTCTTGAAGACCTCATGGGCTGGAAACTGTCCCTCGGCCTCCCACCTATCAACATGTGGGTTGATTTCTGTGTCAATCAACTGCACATTGGGAAAGAAAAGTTTAAGTACACTGCTTAATAAGAGCACAGAATAATGAGATCACAAACAGAGGAATGCACACACAAAGATGAAATGAAACACAATCGCAACAGTAAGAGAAACACTGATGCTTCAAGTCAAGTCAATCTAATAAAGTGCCATTTTGGTTTTACTATCTGATTTTGAGATTTACTATTTTTCTTTGTTATAGCTCTGTACTTCATTTGAAAAGAATATATCAGGGGTATCCACAAGGCAAAACATAATTTCAAAGCAAATATGTGTGAATGCTTTGTTTTCCACACAGAACTTGTAAAGTATAGATAAAAGAATAATACTGTTAATTTTATACTGCAAATATGTAGTCTAATGTAAACCCTATTTTGAATGACAAAACATTAGAAACCAGCATTGCCTTTTGCCTTAAGGTAGCTTCATATAGTTAAAGTATATCTTGCTATTTTAGATATCACCCCTAAAAGGGCAGAGCTCTAAACATGAGAGAAATCATAAAGAAAATACCGCAAAACAGCATAAGCACAGGAAATTTATCTAAAACCATATTTTCTGAAACTTTAGTTTGCCACTAAAAATCATGTATTTTTGAAGAGATTAGAGTCTCTTCTCATCTTGCCAAGTATCTTAACAAGTTTACATATATAAATTGATTATTTAAGCAGCATACTGTTAGGTCAACCATGCCTTACTAGATTTTACTTTCTTCCTTGGAGTTTCAGTTTCCGTGTTCTCTTACACTGCTGTGCCAAATAACTTTGTAATTTTTGACTTACGACAGACATACATTTAAGGTAAGTTTCTTTTATTCTTTTGCTATCATTTCCATAAATCATTAGCCTTGAAAGTGGTGGCAAGTTGACACTTAACCTATACCAATGAAATCTGAGTTACAGTGATAAGCTAAAGTGGATGATATGTCCAATAACTTTGTTATTTTTGAATTGCAACGAAAGTGCATAGAAGATAAGTTTCTTAGAATCATTCGCTCTATCAATTTGCATATATAATTTTGCATCTAAAAGGTGGCTGGCTGAAACTCGACCCTTACTGTGGACTTACACATCTTTTTGAAACCTTCATGAAATACTGATAACTACGTTTTATAATCAGTTATCATTTCACTGATAAGAACTGAACAAACAATTTGACAAAACACGTTACGTAAATAATTAAAATCACTAATATATATCAAGATAAAATGCCGAAACAAAAAATACTAACACCTACAGAATTATAAAATAAATAGACCGTGCTACCAAAACTGAAAATCAAAGAAAAGTTAAGAGATATTAAAGACCAGAACAAAACAGTCACCTTCTTCAGCGAGTTCTGCAATTCTAGGTGTTCTTGCTTGTAGAATTCGCTTGCTTCTTGTGCTTGTTGTTGTAAAGGATAAGTAGTCGATATATTTCTTGTTGTCAGAGCCCGCCATGGTACAGTGATCAGCCTTTTTGGTATTTTGGAGAGAGTAGAAGCTGCCATTGTTGTTTACGCGATCAGCTGTTGCGGACTGAGATGCCATATAGGGATTAACTGGATAGCCCTCGTCTTTGGGGTGGTACGGATAAGAAATTATCGTTTATCTTATCATATAATGGCATATATCATTATGCTTGTATAATATATATACTTATATATGTATATCTAATACATATAAAAATTAATACACACACTCAAACACAAATAAATACACATACACACAAATAAATACAGACACACACACGCAAATAAATACAGACACACACACGTACAAAACACACACACATGCACACACACACACACACACACACACACACACACACACACACACACACACACACACACACACACACATATATATATATTATATATATATATATATATATATATATATATATATATTATATGTGTGTGTGTGTGTGTGTGTGTGTGTGTGTGTGTGCACATACACACACACAATTATATCTATAGATCACATATATCTATATCTCTCTCTATATATATGTATATATGTATACATACTTAGATATATATATATATATATATATATATATATATATATTACAAAAAGTGTATTGTGCTATAAAAAGTGTACTATAATAATGTGTGCTTGTGTTCGTGGCGATGAAAAAGTCCGCCAAAATATGTGTATGGTCGGGGCGCCGAAAAGCCCGCCAAAAACGCGCCGTTGCGTGATTGGCTGCCTGCAAGGCGGGTCGAGAATCCGGCATCATGATTGGCTCCGAGAGGGGAGTGGCGGGCTGTTCGAGAAGAGATCTGGAAGAGCGAGGACGGTCCGTGACGGTAGCTGCGATCTCGATTGTGCTGCTCTCTCTAAGGAGGACACAGAGACGGAATTAAGGTGATTAAGCTGTGCGCATGTGTGAGGTGACCGCATTTCCTTGGAGAGAAGTGATTAGTTCCTGTAAATAAACTTTGTGGCCCGCCAATAAACCGTGGATTGCTACCTGTTTGTCCTTCACCCCGCCAACTTCATTTAGTACCCAGAGTGCCATAATACTCGTCAAAGGCTGCTCACCGAACCCAGTGGGACAGGCAGTTAAAGAAGTGCAGCATCCTGCCATACAGGGTGGGTTGTGTGAGGCACTTATACTTGTGAATCTGTCTGTGTTACGTAACATACATATACCTATATATATATATATATATATATATATAATATATATATTATATGTATGTGTGTGTGTTGTGTATGTGCGCGTACACACACACACACACACACACACACACACACACACACACATTCACACAAATATGTTAATCAAATACCTTTCCAGAACAAGTTCTGTCGCCCCTCGTCAACGTGGCAGAGTGTGTTAGGGCACTAGATTCGAATGGGGAAGGCTAGATCAGTAGTAACTCGAGGACGTGTCATGGCGTCTGATTCTATTTTTAGAAAAAAAAATTATGACGTCACCAAAGTTACGGATGCTTTATGAATATGGCCGATCATTTTGGTCTTTTGAATTTTCAAAAAGGATGGAAAATAATTATTTTGATGGTTATATTTTCATAGAACAATCATCAAAATAGCCCTGTGGGACGCCATGACACCTCCTCGAGCTGCTACTGATCTAGCCTTCCCCAGATTCGGATCCGCGATTGCGAGTCCGAATCTGCGACAGATAAAAAAAAAAAAAAAAAAAATGCTCCCTCTGACTGCACCCTCGCCCGGGGCTGAAAGACATGAAAAGCGCCCGGGAGAAGAAGCCAAGTCGCCCAGGTTGTGATCAGTTTTTCCGTTGTTGTTTGTCTGTCCTTCCAGACTGTGACTGATAGGTATGACCACAATTATTTGATTCCTTGGTTTACGGATGTTATTCCCGAAAACCTTTGACAGGCGGTCTCAAAATAAAAATAAGTGGGTGTTTTGACTTTTTTCTTTCTTTTTAGAACAGTTTATAAAAATCTGGAAACATGTGACGGGCGATAAAAATAAATGAAATACCGATGTGCTGTGTGTATGTGGATGAAGATATGGTAAAGATCATTATAACAATCATAAGACCAAGTCTTGAGGACGGTGCAGTGGTATGGAGTCCACACTTAATACAGGATATAGACAAACTGGAAAGAGTTCAAAGAGCGGCCACAAGATGGACACCTACCCTAAAAGATCTGAGTTACGGTAGACCACAGACCCGAATGATCTCCGGTGACACTGTGCTTGAGACCAATGGCAGATACCATCGAATGTGGAGGTTTCTAGGGGTATGACTAGAAAAACAACATTAGAATCAAGTTACAGCGGATCAGGTGTGGCGGCGATAAAATGTAGATTTTTCAATTATTTTCATTTTCGAAAATCGGGAAATCAAGGGCGGTGGGTCCGTAAACCAAGAAATATAATAATTGTTGCCTAAAAAAAATCCTCATGTAAGACGTCAAAACAAGCCTACATTTTGCAGTGACTCTCACTAAAATAGCTTATTCTCAGGTTTCTCCCATTTCTAGATGGATGAGCCGCATCTATTGATTTTTCTACGGCTCATTTCATACTGATTCTGGCATAGGTTTTTACAGTCGGATGCCCTTTCTGACACCAAACCTCTCTATTTATCCGGGCTTGGAACCGGCACCCATAAAGGCTGGCTTATCCCCCAGGTGGCTTTTACACTAGGTAATCAAGGTAAAGTTCCTTGTCTAAGGGAACAAAGCGCCAGTCGGGGGACTCGAACCCTCGAACCTGGATTTGTAGACGAATTCAAAATCCGGTGCTCTAACAACTTTTTGTGAAAAATGTTTACGAGGATTATAGTCTGAGACAGCAGTTCGAGTAGAGAAATTGGTCAATAATTAGATGGCTCGTCAGCTAGTTTTACCGATGTAAGGATTGCCATTTCGGTAGTGACTTTGATTGGTTACTTGTCTGTCCCTATGATCTAAATCAGTGGTTCCTTTTCTATTCTGTGGCCGCCGATCAATAAATAACGATCTCCATGGCCCCGTCCAGTGTCTGTCATCTTTTCAGATTCAGTTATTGCTAGTTATGAATAGTGAAATGGTGCCGACAGTTATAGGTCAAGAACACTACATATAAAGATTCCAATTTATTGATATGTGAGAGAGAATTATATGTGGGTACTGCAGGCGAGACAAAATCCAGTTTAATCCAGTTATGATTTTCATACTGCTCCATGGGCCCCCCCATGGCCCTTAATCCGTGGTTTGAATAGAACGATGGATCATGGCAAATTCGACACGTTTTAAACTTGATAATGATTAGACAGACCGTCCGCCGAAAAGTATACGTCCGAAATTTGTGGATGTCTTCTGGATACACATTTTAAAGAGAGATATTTGTCATTTGTCTACAAACTTTCAAATCTGGCGTGCACGTGTGTGTGTGTGTGTGTGTGTGTGTGTGTGTGTGTGTGTGTGTGTGTGTGTGTGTGTGTGTGTGTGTGTGTGTGTGTGTGTCTGTGTTCTTACCTAGTTGTTTCAATACGGGAGAAGAGCTAAGCTCAGGTGGTCCCGTCTGTTATATTTAAATTGTCGTATAACTATTTAATTTTATGTAAATTTTTGGCACACTACGTTTTTGGGGAGACTGGTCCATTTTTAGAGCTACTAGTACAGTTAACGTAATCTATTTGTCGCCCTTACTCTTTGTAGCACTTGACACACCGAGTCTTAGTTTGTCAATATCGGGGGAATCCTTACTAAATTTTTACATTTTGGGGAGACATGCTCCAATAGTTCTGTTTGGGAAACTAAATTTTTTGACATCATCACCTCTTTTTACTTTCAACGTTTTGTTGTGTCCTCTCGTCCTTCTTGTGTTCAAGATAAAAAAGTCCTCTTTATCTATTTTCACTCTTCCTGTAATACATTTGAAAACATAATCATGTCTCCCCTTTTCCTTCTTCCAAGGTAGTAAGTCCTAATTTCTGTAGTCTATCTTCGTAACTCTGATTTCTTAGAGTAGGTGCCCATCCTGTGGCCGCTCTTTGAACTCCTTCCAGTTTGTCTATATCCTTTATTAAGTGTATACTGCGCCGTCCTCAAGACTTAGTCATGATTGTTATAATGATGTTCTTTACCATATCTTCATCCACATACAAATGCCTCATGTTGGCAATCAGTCCCAGCATTTTGTGGACCTTTTCATTTATATAATTATTTGGGTTTAGGTTTCAGATGATGATTACTTCAAAATCTTTTTCTCTGTCAGCTGTGTTTAATATTGCGTCTCCTAATTTATATTGGAATAGTGGGCGATTTCTTTCTCCGTACTTGACAACGTGCATTTATTGGTATGAATTTTTCCATTTACAACACGTGAATAAGTTCTCGATGTCACTTTGGAGGCATTGACATGAGGAGTGTGTTATCTTTTTTTTTTTTTTTGTATCTTCGCGTCATCTGCTAACATATTTAGATAACTACCTGGGCTCATGTTCGACCTAAATCATTAATGAAATTAGTAAACATAATCGGCGCCAACACCGATCCTTGAGGCACTCCGCTGGCTACTCGTCGCCATGTAGAATACTTCCCTCTAATTACTGTGCTCATCTGTGTTTCATGAAGAAAGTCGAGTAGTTTGCCTTTCACTCCACCTAGGTGCTCTAATTTCCATAGTAGTCTTCTATGAGACACTATCAAAAGCCTTTTTGAAGTCCAAATGTGTGTGTGATATCAGTTTTTTTTCCAGTACTAATCTATGTGATAATCAGTTGTGCCATCCATCTCCGGTTAAGTTCCTCATGTTAATTTTTTGAAAGATTTAGGAAATGTGATCAATAGTACACACTTCATGTTTAATTTGAAACTGATCAAGATTTAGGGAAATATTATCATGTTAGAGATAATCATTTTCCTTTTCATTATCACTTAATTGTCATTACATCGTTATATATAGATAAAGACCACAGAACTCGGAAATAAAATCAACAGTAGTTTATAATACTTTTTATTGAAGTCTGTAACATAATAATCCATATATACATGGCCACACATAGCATGATCTCTGGGCCACTAGAGAAGCCAGTGTGTTAAACATAATAATTGGTTATAACA